GAATGGTTAATTTTATTGTTGCTGAAGTAAAAATAAAAAAATTGCGAAAAAAAAAGAAAAAATTGACCGACCTTAACAGTTTAACCAACCACTGCAGTCTTTCCTATTTCAACAACAGCTTTTGCCTAGCACAAACAAATATTTACAAAGATACAGTGCCACTAAAAACAGTCATTTTTTTTTTCATCTTCTTTCTTTTGCACCTTCTTTCTCTGTTCTCTGTTTAAAGATGCGTATTTTTCCAGCCAAAGTTTCTGTGGCCATAAATAACAGCCGTATATCAAATTAATCATTTAATTTATTAAACTATTGCTCGCTGTTATCCCACTCCTATACATTTGTTTACAGTTAAATATACCCGCAATAAATAGTGAAATTATGAATAAGAAGAGGAAGAAAAAAGTAAAAACATAAAACGCAAAACAAACAAACACCAATCATCCAATAAACTTGAAGAACAAAGGAAAACCGAACAACAATTAATTTAAAAAAGTTACATTTATATGTAAGACAAAAAACAAACAAGTAAATAAATAATTGTAGCGAAAAGTGACAAAAAAATTTTTTTGTAAAGCGCATAAGTTTTGCTAAGAAACTGAACACCACCCGATTAATGATGGTGCTGTCGCCGATGATGATAATGATGGTGGTGATGATGATGTTGGCAGTGATGGCGATGACGTTGTTAGTCGTTTGGTTCTGACGAAGTGTTGTTTAGTAAACAAAAATTGAGGTATTGTAACTGATGATCAAATGTCGGAAAATAAATCTTCTACTTTAATTTATTGCTGACCATTTATGTTTTCTTAATTTGATTAATAGAGGACAGAACTGCAACAAAAAAGAAAAACAATAGATAAATAAAATAAATGAATAACTTATAACAGCAGTAAAAAACTGCGTGCATTTAGAGACCACAAAAGTAAAAAAAAAAGTAATGAGCAATAAAGAACTATACCCATACTCATATTATTCATACTCAAAATATTCCTCGTTTTTTTCTTTTCAATCACTTATGTATATCTGTATCAAATACAGTAGAGGTAAACCATACTTTAAAAAAGCAATTCTTTTTACTTTCAACCATTTTCTCCTTCCCTTTCTAAGCTTTTTCGTACTTTTGTGGCTACCTCCCTTTTGACTTTTTTCATGCTTCTTCTTCAAGTTTTTTCCTTGCAGAGTGGAGAAGAACAGAAAGAAGGAACCCAGTCAGTTGAAAAAAAAAAAAAA